ACGACACGATAGGTCTTAGCGGTACGTCGGCCTTATGGATCTTCGGTAAACCGCAGATTCTAGGCGGCTGTTTGTGTCGGGGTCGGATCTTGTTGTAAACGGCCTCTGATAGATATCCGCTTCGCTTCAAGGTGAGCAGCTTTTTCTTGCGGGTCAGACGGTCTGTTGGATCTTTGTTGAGGAGTGGTAGGGTCCGTTCTCAATAAGCGTAGACATCTTGGCACGGTAGGTGTCGGTATCCACGACTACGCGAGCGCGCCCTTTGTCCATTGGGAGGACCACGATGGACTCGTCGTCTTTCAGGTTTTTAAGTGCATCTCGCATCTCCGTGATGTTAGGCTCTGGTGGTTCCGCCTATTGAAGGATACCGTTAACAGCTCTTCTAACAGTATCTGCTTGTTCGGCGTCGAGTTGTCTTACGGCTGCTTCGACCTTGGCGATGATCTCTGTGGCAGGAATATTCGCAGGAGTTACGGCGAAGTTCAGTCCTTTCTTCAGTAGGGCTCTCTCGGCATCGCTAAGGGACCTAGAAGATAAATTAACCACCCAGTTAGCTTTGTCAACATACGGTGTGTCAACCGGTGACACAGTCGCCTGTTTTTCTCAAATGAGTTTTTCAAACTTCTGCTTATGTCTGTCTTTGGTGGTGTTGAAGACTCGTTGGGTGTTGGTCTTAATCTGCTCTAGTAGCCTGTTGGCGTCGTTTGTCGAGAGAGCGGATGTTATGCTCTGTGCTGTGGATTCTGTATCCTTCTTTGCATCTCCCTTGGCCTTCTGTGTCAGTCTGATCCGTTCCCTTAGGAATCTCATGGATGCGAGTTCAGCGACTCTGCGTGCGCCTTTGGTGGGAACTGGCGGTCGAACTCGTAGATCTTTAGGAACAACGCGGTTCTTGATGCACCTTGTTAGGAAGGTGAGATGGTTGGTGTAGCGTGCGAGCTTGCTCGAGCAACGCTCATGTCGACGAATCAACCTTTTGTTACAATATTTGGCAAGTGATGAAGTCTACAGATGATAAATACAGTACTTTCTTTTCATTTTTGCATCATGTCAAAAAGGCCTGGTCTTACACAGAAGTTTTGAATGATCGAATATGAACTTGATGTGTCTTGATCTTGTAGAGAAGCATGAGAAACTTAGTGGCCCTGTGGTTTGTTCTCTGTATTTCACAGAGAGGTCTGGGTTTGAGCCCTTTCTGGTAGAATTAATGGTGTTGTGTTCCTGGGGAAGACTAGGTCTTTAATGGCTAACCTAGGTTTAAATTCTAATGCAGATGGAATGAAGCTCTATTGTGCACATTTGGAGCAACTTACTTTGCAAAGCTTTTGTCATCAGATACAATCAAACTCTTCCTCTGCTGTAAAACTATGAGACTGCCAGCCTGTTGGTATCTTTTTAGGATACAGCACCATTTTTGCAAAAACTCACCCTAAGGGATAATGTCAAGGGTCATTGTACTTTTCCCACTAATTTGAAAATAACAGAGATTTTGTGCTTACCCACTGTTTTGTGGTTGGAAAGTCTAAGACTTTGAAAATATCTCATTTTTGAATCTTAAGGTCTATATTTAGAATACACTTGCTGATGAAACAAAAAAATGATGATAACAGAATAAGCAAGGGTAATAGAACTGAGTGGAGAGTGAAGTTACAGACCTAAGTGGACAATGTGAAGCCTTATTACCTATTAATCATAAAAAATTACTTACAATTTCTGAGAAAAGACGAATAGCCAAGTAAAGAAAGAAAGGAAAATTTTGATTTAAACTTCACTATGAATGTGATCGGCTTATTGAGCTGTCCAATAACAAGCTATCCAATAACAACTTGGCAAGTGAATTAGCGGATAAAAGGAGTTTTTGAAAGCAATCACAATCAAGGAATTGTAATTTTTATGATTAGGTTTATAGGCTCATTTTCATCAACCTTTATTTGCAGACTGATTTCAGCATCAAAGGAGAATTAAAAATCAGTCTTGAATATGAAGAACCTGAAACTCTGATAGTAACCATCCACAAAGCATTCAACATCAAGGCTGGAAACACGCTGAGGAACACATCTGATGCCTTTGTCAAATGTGCAATTTCTGGAACTAGTTTTCAATATGAAACCAAGGTGTGTGTATGATCTTCAAAAAGCTAACTAGATAATGTCCCACCTATTGGGAATTTTTTTTAATGATTTGTGTTGTATCTACTCCTCAACTCTCTGTTTACAGTGTCCCCAGTTAGAACTGAGCCACTAAATCGCTTAACCCTCTAACTTGCAAGATCGGACTGTTGATTCTCCCCTCTACAGGTAGCTACTACACATTTCCTTGTAAATTAGTAATGAAAATTTGGCATTAGATTGGAATAATAACTTTAACCCGATAAGTTTGAGTACTCTCATTACCTGTTTGCTGGACAATGTATGGATATTATAGAGAGAATTTGCATGTTAATCACTTCTGAGAGTTAAAGGGTCAAATTGATATGTTTAATTTGTTATACTGTATAAACTTTTGAACATGCTCCTGAGCCTCCTCTTCTTCAAGCTTCCTTCTCCAATGGGCACTACTCCTTCTCTGAAAAGATTTCTAGGCTTTGATCTGTTTCAATGTCATACTTATTCAATTAATTCACTCAACATTTTTAAATAATATTTTTATGTGATCTGCAGAGGTAAAAATTCACATACTACAGAGTAACTATTGTCAGATAACTCTCTAAAGGTATTTATTAATACAAATCAACTACTCATTCATTACTAGTGACAGGTGCTTAGCATTGACAATTATTACCAGCCTATCAAAATAGAATGAGAAATCAAAAGGAGCCATTAATAAGGATTCCAAAATGCTACCCTACTTTTAGCTGAAAAACTCCTGGGTGGGAATATGGCAAAACATAGGCTGCAAAAAGGCAATTGACTAGGTTGTGTCTTATATTAGATTAACATCTGACTGATTGAGAGGGTGCCACAAATTTTAGAGACCAATCACAAATGGCAGTGAAGCATGGACAATGCAAATCCCAATTACTTTCAAAACTCAACTGAAAATTGCTCCAACAAAACAATCCTTAGCCATCATCTCATCAACATGACTATTCTAAGAGACTCAAGAATGAGAGCTAGCCCATCATCTGTTGTTTGAGTCACCAAGGTCAGTAACACTTCCATGATCTTGACAAGGTAAGGTGTTAGGATCTGTGTATTATTTGACATCTTAAGGTGGGCACAGAATCTGCAAAAATTCACTAAAATTCAGGACTGATGTCAAAGCTTAACCCTTTGGAGGTGATAAACATCTGAGTTCTCCCTATAATATCATATCCAGCAAATAGGTAATGAGAATACTCAAATTTATCAGGTAGAAGTAGTTATCTTGATCTGACACCAAGTTCTCATAACTAATTTACAAGGAAATCTGTAGCAGCCAGAGGGGAGAATTAACTATCAGATCTTGAGAATTAAGGGTTAAAAGAAACATCTCAGTGGTTAGTATCTTATTGGCTCTTCTTTTAAAAACTAAGTTGGTGCAAAGTTCAAAAAACTTACTTGCATTTTGGCCCTTAAGTGTGACAAAAGTTAATCCCAGTTAAGAATTTTGCATCTTGGTTTATGCCTTTCAGAATCCAGGTTTTCAGGGGGATATGGCTGGTATCTTTTTTTCCCTGAAGTAGTGTTTGTCGACATTAGCCAACAATTTCTTGACTTCAATAAAAGAATAATAAGTAAAAAAGAAAAAAAATTGGTTCACCTACTCCTCAATAGCTCTTACAGCTAATATTCTAACTGCAGGCAACTGTGCTGACTGAAGACTTGTGACAGATGCTTTGATGAAGCTGAACATGAGAAATGTTTACAAGCTAAGAGCTCAAAGATAAACTCGTGAAAGACTGGAGAATTTCAAGAATTTAAAAAAAAAAAAAAAAAGAACCACTCAAGCTACACTTAAGACTAGGGCATTCTAGTATGCCATAACTGTTCTTTAGCTAGTCAGTTAATTGTAAGTCAGTTCCTTAGAATGGTCAGATGCATCTCATGACAACAAATTCTCCAGCATATTTTTTGTAATCATATTCTCTTAGGTGAAGAGCCTCTGCTTGTACGCTCTCAAGCTATGCAGACTAAGGCATTTATATTAAGTAATGACTGTCTTTTAGCAAGTCAGTCAATTGGAAATCAGTAAGGATGATCAGACACATTGCATAACAACAGTCATATTCTCCAGCCTTATGGTTACCATGTTTTCTTAGGTATGGAGCCTCTGCCTGTGTGCACTCAAGCCACACTAAAACTTGGGCATTATAATAGGCCAACACTGTCTTTCAGCCACAACCATCATTTGAGGCAAGAAGACCACACACGACTCAGTTTGACTTCATCACACTTACCAATTAACATCTCCTTGGCTTTTTCTTTCATTTGATTCCTGTAAATGTTTGTTGAGTGCTTTTGTCAATGTGACTGCACTTTCATTTTACAAAGTCAGCAGCAACGTCTACAAAATATCAGTTGAAGACTATGCAAAAGTTTGTTACAATTCCTTGAGACCACTTAATGATATAACTACCTGGACACGTTTATAAAATTATTACAAGCACATCTTGTGTGTGTGTTTCACATCCAATTTACATGCTTGAAACACACAAATGGGTGTATTAAAATCAAACGCAATCTTGTGTAATGCACTGGTAAATTACACACAATCAGCTAATTGTAACATAATAAGTGAGCCCCATAAGAAAACGGTGTGCACACTAAGACTGAAGGTGTGAATTGAATGTTGAAGCTGTTCCATTCACTTACCAAGAGAACATCTTGAACTGCAATGCGAACAGAAAACGAAAAGGTGTCATCATCCTCATCTTCAGCAAATTGATTTGGATTGGATGTCCACACTTGCCTTGAAGGAGGCAAATAACAGCAAAAAAGGTTTTGTTTGATCAATGTGACAAGTATTGATAAGCCACCTGTTGTTGGGTATGTGAGTGCAAAATAGACTAGAGATAATAGGCTGGAAATAAAAATGAAAAACAAAACCCACCTGCTCTTCTGTGATTTGCATGTACAACACTAAGAAATGAACAAGTTCATCTAAAAACTTCTTGACAGTTTTCTTGCATTTTGGTGTTTCCGTAAGTCCACAGATAAACTCAAAAACACTGAAAACAAGATTCTCAAATCCCAACACTTCTCCTAAGACACAAGAAAAGAAAAAGTAGTGATGGTAAGAAGAGGTAATGTTCCACAAACTGATTTTTTTCCAGCACAATTGTTGTTGTTCCATTAATGTGGTGCCATTTGCTTTGTGTAGTTCTTAACCAATGTCATTAATGCCTTGATGGGGATAAAGTGAATGACATTTTGTTTTTTAATGAATACAAGATGGACAGTAGCTTGGATTAACACTGAATAAGAGTGCTCAATTATGACAAGTACAATGAATGAACCAGAGCTGATATGTTGAGTTTATTGGTGATTTACAAAAAGAAAGGAAAAGGGAATTTGGAATCTTTAATACACTTCCTGGAATTTTCATCTTTGGGATTGAAGCATGTCATTTTCTGAGCAGGAAAAGTAAATAAAAAAAGCCGTGCTTCAATAATTGATTTCTTGAATGCCAATGATTGCACAAAAAATAGTGACTTTCTGGATGGAATGAGAAATTCATATGCTTTTGATGAGGAATGTAAATTTTGAAAAAAAAACATTTTAACTTCTTGGCTTGTAAGGAGAAGGTTTATCCATTGTACCAAGTATGCATATATAGCATAAGATAATGATATGATATAAGCAATAAATTTCAATTCATACATGCATTGCAGGCCTACATTCTTGCTCTCATTCCCAGCCAAAGGTAGTGTGGATTGTGTAATTACAAAAGGAAGCCAGCATACCATGAAACAAGGAATAAGGAAGCAATCCATACAATAAACACAGAAAAAGGTTTGCTATATAAAATCAGACTAATCAAAAACCAACCTTTAGCACTTCCATCTTCAGGCCACATTCAAGTGTGGAACTATCAGACATTGCCAGAACTTCAACAAATGCTTGGGTGAATTGTGGAAGAAGAGGAAAGAGGACATCCTTGGCAATACCCTGTAATGAGAATTTGTTAAAAATATTGTCCAATTTCTAATTAAAAATGAATAACAAACAAAATTGCAATACTACTGCTTGCATGCGAAACTTTTAGTCTGACAGCTTCCATATCACAATAAATACCAAAGCATAACCAGAGGTAAGAACATTTAATGCTCAGCACACTCTGGTAAATCTATAAGAATTCATGTTAAGTTGAAAAGAAAATTCCACCTCTTCTGACAGCAACAGAAACAAACTACCTGTCTACCTCCCCCTCTACCCTAACAGGATTTCCCCAGAACCCCCTCCCTATTCCCACACAACAACTCTGGGTTTATGAAAAACCTGTATGATTCCAAGATCTCAAAATTCCCTAATGCCACTGTTCACCATTTCCCCCCCCCCCCCCAAAAAAAAAAAAAACAAAAAACAAAAAACAAAAAAACAATACCAGTAGCCAAGTGAGTAATTTCTTTTTCCCCAAACCTATTTTCCCCTTCTATTTTTGTGAAAATAATATAGAAACAATGATGGAATGGTCCTACATAAGCACACTTTTGTCTTTGTAATAGACTTACTTCCTTTAGGAGAGGAAGAGTCTAACCAAGAGTAGGGGTTAAATTTCATTCACAAATAAGAACTCAACTCTGGTAACCAGCATTCCATTCAAAATCCCAAAAGAGGGCAAAAGAAAAAGAATAATCTTGGACCCAATTCCCTTAAGTGGCAAATGATCTCACTGCAGCATCTTCCATTGCACAGATTAGTGATGCACAAGTATTAAATATATCTGCAGCACGGGATCTTGTTCTGATACTGTACTTCTACGAAAAAAGATTGAAATACAAATGACCACACCACACCATGTTGAGAGGTTGATACAGGTATGCAGACCTCAACAACATTTCAATCTTCAGCTGCATGAGGGGACGCAAGTGGCCTCAACTGTAAGTACTTTTTAGAAATGCTAGGATATTATCCTAGCATTCCTAACATTCCGAGCTGTGCAAGAGTGTCAAAATCCGTGCGTATGTCACAGAAATGTCACTAGACCTAAAGTATGCCAGATGAGGGTGAATAAATCGTGTGGATATATTTCTCTTTATAATCTACAATGTAACACAAAGGAACCGGCCAAGGAATAAAGGCACTATTGATTGCATGTGAAACAAAAGCATTAGCTGATGACATTTTGATATCAGGCATTAATTCATTTATCTTCTCATATTTATTCGCCCTCATCTGGCATACTTTAGGTCTAGTGACATTTCTGATATACACATGGATTTTGACACTCTCGCGCAGCTCGGAATGTTAGGAATGCTAGGATAATATCCAAGCATTTCTAAACAGTACTTACAGTTGAGGCCGCTTGCGTCCCCTCATGATTTGAACAGATAGTGCACAATTTCCACCAACATACCTCTGCATGAATAAATATCTTATCCATTTCAGGCAGGATCACAGGCACAACATGTGGCATCTGTGTGTCTGTCACCTCACGGCAGAACTCTGAGGATAGATTCACAAACACTTTACACTGCTACTCAGAAATAAGTGAGACTTAATAGAAACCCTTAACAGGCTAGACAATAATGCACATCTTAAATTATGCAAGTGCATTACAAATAAGCATTTCTCTCTATTTCAAAATCAGTTCTACAATTTAAACTTTCCTAACTCTCATATTACAGTCTCCTACTTCACAATGCACATTTCCTTAGACATAAGGGGCAGTTGACCTTAGGTTTTTCTAACCTTTTCACTCCCAGGTGTGACCAAAGACAAATTTCTCCAAACAATATCCATACAATATCCAGCAGAAAGGTGATGAGAAGTGAAAAAATAATATTGGGACAAAAAGCCAAATTTTTTAACTAAAGTTATTAGAAAATAATGTATGGTAAACATTAGGGAAAATGGATATTAAAATCTTGGAGTGAAAGTGTTAACCATTGTTTGAACAAGTTGGAAGGACACCATTTCAAAAGCTTCCATTTTCCAGTAGCTGTTCCTTCACCCCTAATAAGCTTTAGTGAAGTACAGTTTTTCATACCTGTTAAAACTCTCATGGCTCCATGAACCAAATTGCCATCCCCACTTGTCAATGCTTGCATCAGATTCCCAAACAAATGTGGCCAAGCTTCTGGCCAGTCCCAATATGCTATGGCTGAGATTGCATATGCCTGAATTTGTGGAAATAAGTATAAATCTACAAGTGTTGAGGAAGACTTACAGATGTACAAATGTTATTAAAAGACTGTGAACCTACTACTGCTTTTTTCTTATAGAGCAAGAGATTTTTTAACCTTTCAAAAGTACATTGAGAGTTAGGTCTTTGCAAATTTACATTTGTAAGTCTCAATGCCATTTTCTCTCTTGAACCTGCTCACTCAGTGTAACTAATAGCATAACTGGTTACTCATGGTGTCATCCAGTTAAAACAGTCACACACAAGAAAGTGCTTCTAGAACTTGAGTTTTCCCCAGGCCATGAGGATGTACCTTCCATGCTAAGTTGATCATGAGAGATGCCAAGAATAACCTCTCACAATAGATTACCCTTTGAACATGAAAAAAACTTACCACACTTGACCTGACTTTACTAATTGATTCCTGTAGACCTCCTGGTAAAAGACGACGAATCTCTTCCTTGGCCTAAAACACAAGAAAAAGAGAAGATATCAGTAACCTTTGATAATTAGCAATGTATGAGAGAATGGTAATAATGTTGCTAAAATAAACGACCATTGACTATGTCTGTGCAACTTATAAATATTGGGAGTAAGTTTCTAAAGAGACTGTGGTGCTGCATCAGTGGGAGAGTACAACAAATAAGTTGATAACTTAAATTAGCCATAGTTAAGAGTTTAAAAAGCTGATGTTTTGAGCATTAGCCCTTCCAAATCACCCTGACAAAGGCCTAACACTTAAAACATCAGCTTTTAAACTCTTTACAGTGGCCAATTTACTCTGCTGATGATACTAAATTACCCTGCGACACACCTTATGCTTGCCTTCTCTCCACTGAACATGTGGAGGGGACTATTATACTATTCCTTAGTATAGAACTGCCTGTTGTATACCATAACTTAAAATACTGGATACTCCATGCAGAGAACTTTATAAGTAATATGCCACACATTCTGTGCTGGAATCTGCATAATTTGATTTTCACAGTTATGTGTCTTTTGTGTTTATTTGTTTATATTAATTATTCATTTGTACAGCACTTCTGTACTTGTTGTGTAGTAAGGAATTTGGTTATTAAAACCTCAAGTTTTCATGATAAACATTGTCGCCATTCTGCAACACTGCAATACTTATTTCTGAGAAATCACTTTAAAACACCCAATCTTTCACCAGCCCTCCCTCCAAGAATCAACCTTTCCAATGCATTACCCTCTTTAACCTTTTCACCATTAAGATCTTAATAATAATTTTCCTCACTGTCTGCCATACAATTCAAATGACATAAGTGCTGAGAATTTGGTATTAAGTCAACTTATAATGCCCTAATTGATATTTTCAAGAAACTGTCTCATGGGAGAAACTTCTCCCTTTAGAGAATTTAAAGGGTTAAAAAAATGAAAATAGCCATATATCTGTATATGGAAATTGAAAAAGAAAACTCATTAAATTGCTCCACAGAGATGATTTACATTTACCACTGTAAGACTTGAAGTATACTCAAAATGTACTTACGGCATCTGTAGTCTCAGGAGGTCTAAATTTCTCAGCACTGCTATTCCAGTGGGCTTCAACATACTGCTTTAGAATGACTGAGGCAAGCTGAAAATGATTTATGTTACACTAAATAAACAAAAGACTATTCTTCAATCAGACTTGATATTCATGTAAGCCTGATGGAAACAGTTAAAAGAAATAGTAATAACATCAAATTGGTGCAGATTCATCCTTTAGTGAACTTACAAGAAAAAACTGACCAATCAATCAAGCTCAGGCAAGGTTATCAGTTTTGTTCAAACACGCAACATTTACATGTATGTGTAACTTTATCAATGCCTTTGACCTGACAAAGAATCATAAATTGGATCTAGAAGCTGTCTGTGGGAAACCTGATGCAATCATACAATCCAAGTAGTTTGGATATAAAGCACACTGTCATTGGTTGACAGAGCATGCTCTATCAGAGTCCAAAGCATGGAGCTGAGCTAAAGCCGTCACACCTTCTGCCAATTATTACAATGTCCAACCATTTCCTGAACTTTTCTCTTACACTAGCTTTGTTTCCTTAACTGAAAGTGAAAGTTTGCAACAAGCAAGCTACCAAGTAGCACAAGCAGAACCAAACAAAGGTTTGTAAACATGCCAAGCCCTGTAATTGAGGTTATAATGATGTGAACAGAGATGAAAAGTTCCTCAAAGAGAAAACAAAATTGACAGCCCAAGTTTTCAAGGTATTCATGCTCAGTTAGATTGTAGGCATACCTACAGTATAAGAATCAAACACAGCCAACTCTTGCATAATATATATAAAGTTTC